GAGGCCCTATAATGCTCGTGAACTTGAGCTAAATTGTTAATTATGTGTGGCTATGAATGGCCCAACCACCATATTATTAGGTATATCATTTTAATATAACCAAAGATATCGAGGATCCTAAGAAAAATAGAGATTTTGCTTTTGATTATTCTTTCTGGTCTCATGATTCCTTTGAGAATGATGAAAATGGGTACAGCAGAGCTATTCCAGGAACTAAGTATGCAGACTAACAAATGGTGTTTGATACTGTTGGTTAAGAAATTTTAAATAATGCTTGGTAAGGTTATCATTGTTGTCTATTCGCATATGGTTAAACAGGAGTAAAAATAATTTAAATAATTAAGGCTGGTAAATCCTATTCGATGGTTGGTTATGGAGCAAATAAAGGTATCGTACCTATTTCATGCGAAGAAATCTTTAAACGTATTAAAAAAAATTCTGATTCTCATTTAAGTAATGTGTTTAGATTATCTATTCATTAGCTTATGAAGTATAAGTCAGTATGCTTGAGATTTACAATGAAAAGGTTTAGGATCTTCTTGTACCTGTTCCTAAAAGACCAACTGGAGGTCTAAAAGTTCGAGAACATAAAGTTTATGGAGTCTACGTAGAAGGACTTACAAAATATCCTGTTGATTCTTATGAAGCCATTGAAGCTAAAATGGATGAGGGAAGCAAACATAGAACTGTTGCTGCAACATAAATGAATGCATCGTATATTATTCCATATTATTGAATAGATCTTCAAGAGCACATACAATCATATAGATTGAGTTTAAAGAAATAAAGAATGTTGATGGAAGAAAATCAGAGAAACTATCCGTTATTAATTTAGTTGATCTTGCAGGTTCTGAAAAAGTAGGGAAAACAGGAGCTTAAGGGGATCGTTTGAAAGAAGGTAAGCTTTAGTTATAATGGTTTATATAGCTGGTAATATTAACAAATCATTATCTGTTTTGGGATAAGTTATTGCAGCTTTGGCAGATAAGGCTATGGGCAAAGGAAAAAATGCAGTTGTTCCATATAGAGATTCATAATTAACTAGAATCTTATAAAATGCCTTGGGAGGTAATTCAAAGACTCTGATGATTTGTGCTGTAAGTCCTGCTACAGACAATTATGAAGAAACCTTGAGTACTTTGAGATATGCAGATCAAGCTAAAAAGATTAAGAATTGTGCTGTTGTTAATGAAAGTGATGTTGATAAGAAATTAAGAGAATAATAAGAAGAAATTCATTCATTGAAATAATAGTTGATGATGTTACAATAATAATTAAAAGGAGGTGTAATTAATCCTGAAATGTTGAAATAATTATCATAAATATAAGATGATATTGAAACCAATGAGACTATTATGTAAGAGAATTAGGAATCATTTGAATCTAAATTGTAGAAGTAAAAATAAAAGGATGAAGAGGAAGATGATGAAGATATATAAAATGAAGGAATTAAAGATCATCCTCATTTGTTAAATTTGAATGAAGATCCTTTGCTCAATAGAAAAATATTGAAATCATTAAATTAAGAAGAAACTCATGTAGGAAGACCAAATGGAAATCCAACTCCTTAAATTGTTGTAAATGCAATGTGTGTATAACCTAATCATGCTGTTATCAGAAATAAAGATGGTGTTATTGAAATAAGTCCATTTACTAAAGAATGTGGTGATTTTATATTTGTTAATGGTTCACCAATTACTGGTCCCACTTTACTTCATCATAATGATAGAATAATTTTTGGAACTACTACAACATTTTTAGTTTAAATTCCAGGATCTGAATAAGTAGAATAGGGACCTGAAATTGATTGGGAATTAGCATAATAGGAAATGTAAAAGAAGGAGGAAGAAAAGAGATAGGAATAATAGAAATTAGCAGAAAAATAAGTTCATGAAGAAATGCAAAGAAAGAAATAAGAATTAGAAGAATAGAGAAAAGAAGAATAAAGATTATATGAAGAATAAATGAAGAAATAATAAGAAGATTTTGATAGAAAAATGAAAGCTTTAGAAGAACAAAATAAGGATATGTTAAATAGGGCATTGATGGCTGAAGAAGAAAGGAAATTAATAGAAGAGAGAAAGAAATTAGAAGAAGAAACATTATAAAAATAATTATAAAGAGAAAAGGCTAGAAAATAATATGAAGATGAAGAAACTATGAAAAAATATAGAATTAAAGAAAAAAATTTCATTGAAAATAAATTATAAAAATATTTGCCTAAAGTATTAGAAGTTAATTTAATTGCTAAAGAACTTAAACGTAATGTTACATTAGAAGCAAGATTAAAATATGTTTATGCAGATGATTAAGAATATTCTTAATTTACAGAAGAAAATGCTCAAAAAGGATAAATATAAATATAAGTTAATAATAAAGAGGAAGGATAAATATATTATTGGGATTTACATAAATTTTCAAATAGATATTATATTATAAAAGATTTATTAGAAAGATACTTTGAATCAAATTAATTATTATCATTACCAAAAGATTAAGATCCTTTTTGGGATCCACCTGAAGCAAGAGTTATTGGTTCTGGTTTCCTTAAATTATAAGCTTTAGCTTATTTAATGGATAATCCTTGTGATTTGACACTTGTTGGTGAACATTTCTAATGTGGAACTTTAAAGGTTAATTTAATTCCTACAGATGAAACAGGATAAAGAAATTTATCTGAAGATATTGAAGATGGAATAGAACCTCCTGTTGAAGATCCTTCAGAATTAGTTGGTAGAAGATTTGATTTTAGGGTTTCAATCGAAAGTGCAAGATTACCTGAAAACTTATGTAAAGATACATATGTTGAATATTCTATTTAAGTTGAAGAGAAAAAGAAAGAATCATTTAAAACAAAAACAGTATCAATTAATTCTTATATATTTAAGTTGACTGGAGCTCATCCAAATCCAATTTATAATTATGATTAGTAGCACACATTTGATTAACTATCAGAGGCTTAATTGAATTATTTGATTAATGGAACAGTAATAATTTATTTTTCTATTTTAGATATGCTTCAAAGTCTATGGATATGATGAAAATAAAAATAAAGATGTTAAAAAAAGGGAAATACCTGTCGAAAATCTTATCCCTTAATAATAGACTACTTAGTAATAGAGTACTTAATAATAACAATAAATTTAATAATAATCACATTAACCAACATAATAGATAGATTAAGTTAAAAAGCAAGAAGAACATATTGATATTTTGACCAAAACAATTAATTAGTCTAAAAATATTTAATAATAATAATAAGTGTCATAGCAACAACCTAATAAATAATCATAACAAACTAACTAGGTTAAACCACCAATCGAAAGTAAATTAGTTCTATTTCTATTTTTTTAGAATTCACTCCAAACTAGCCAATAACATAACCTATTAACAGATAATCAATCAAAGAATTTGAAGATCATACTTCAGAATAATAATAAATGAAGGCTAAATTATAATAGTAATAAATGAATGCTCAAAAACCAAGAAGTTCATCCTAAGATAGAACACCTGCAATGATGTCAAAAGGAAAACCTGATCCAAAGAAAGGTACTAAAAAAGACGATGGATGCAATATATTTTGATAAATACATAAATTCAATATTATCAGTCAGCTGATCCTACATATTTATCATTATCAAATATTCCATCTACTTACACTCCATCGTGAGACATATATAATCCTTTTCCATTCATTCTATCTTTATCCCAATTGCCTAATATTTTAATGATTTTTATTACCTACATAATAAGAATTGTCATTCCATTGATATCTTCCCTATCCTTATCTCAAACCATCAACAAAATATCCATCATAAATATCATGATTTGCAAACCTATATAATCCTTTTCCATTCTTTTTTCCTTATTCCCATTCTCCTTCATATATATCTCCAGAAATCATTTTCAATACTCCTTATCCATGTTTTTAGTCATTTACAAATTCCCCTTCATATTAATCTCCATTATTATATTTATAACAACCTTTTCCATACCTTTATCCTTCTTACCAAAATCCTTCATAGAAATCTCCATTTGCATAATTCATTTTTCCATTCCCATTTCTTTGATCTCTCAACCATTCTCCTTAATATTCTGATCCATCAATTGCATACTTATACACTCCGTCTCTTGTTTTCTATCCATTTTAAAAAATTCCTTCATAACTATCTCCATTAGAAAAACTTAAAATTCCTTATTAATGAAATTGATCATTAAGCCAGATTCCTTCGTATTTTGAACCAGACACGAAAATATAAGTTCCATATCCATTTTTCTTATTATTTTTCCATTCTCCTTAAAAATGATCTCCATTCGCCAAAATCAATGTTCCTTACCCTGATTTGAATCCTCTTAACCAATTACCCTCATAAACATCTCCATTTTGATATCTAAATTTACCAAATCCCTCCCTCTAATCATTAACCCATGTTCCATTATACTCTGCACCAATTAAATAATAATATTTTCCTTGACCCTCTTTCTTTCCTTTATTGAACTATCCCTTATATCTCTCTCCATTTTGATAAATGTATGTACCTTCTCCTTCAAATAAATCATTCCATTGTCCAAAATATATATCTCTATATAAAATTACATGGTTAATACCCACTACCAAAAATATAAATTCCCAAACCCTTCCTGATGCCTCCATCAATTTCTCCTTCATAATTTTCACCATTATCAAATTTTTACTCTTGAACTTTATTTTCTTTCTTTTTTTCTACCAATGAAGCTTTAAACTATTCGATTAATTTATTATTTTCGTTGATAAATAACTATTATCTCATCAAATTTTCATCGTTATTCTAAGGTTGAGGATTCATTCTGAATTTGTTTATAAAATTATAGTCAATTTTAATATCTAATTGATTATTAACAATTTCTATTAAAAATTTTGCCTTTTTTAAGGAAAGAAGAAAATAAAAATATTTATTAAATTATCTAATTTTTTTTAATTTATTTATTTAATATCTATTTATTTCGGATAATGAGTTAGTTCAAAATCCTCCTGGGCTTTATTTTTCCAATATTTAAGTATATATTTGTTTTGAATCATATTCATAATCTTGAATTAGATTTTTCAACTCTACTAAAAAACTACTATATTTTGAATCCTTTATTTATTTTCCTGGGTTAATATTTTTGGCACAAAAATCTAAACTGTGATAGAAATAAATTTGATGAATATCCATAATTTTGACAATTTCCCATAAGATATTTCCTTTCTTTCCCTTAATTATAATTAATATTCTTACTTATACTAATGCTGTGTAAAATGTCAATTTTCTTGTGTCATCTACGTACACATTGGTTGGCATTCTTTCTTTTTAGATGGAATTAACAAAATAAGCAATATCATCAGCAGAGTCAATCCCAAATATTATTTCTGGAACACAAGTTTTAATCAAATAGCAATTCTTATCTTCTAACATTTCAATTTTATATTAGATTGTAAATTTCTTTAAATCTTTGTCAGTCAATACACCAGATTAAGTTATTGACATAAATATCAGATTTTGTGGGTTAATCCAAGAAGCCCATTTTATTTCAAATTATTCAGAGTTGATGCTCTAATCTTGATTTTGTGAATTTGTTGCAGATTTTGCTTATTATTCTTTTTGCCTAACTTATTATTAAACCTACTCCTATGGTTTTTAAACAATAATTAATTCCAATTCATGTTTAGTATTGATTAATTTCCAATTTCTCCTAATCTTAATACCATTTTCTTATTTAGTTAAGGCTCTTAAAAATGATGTATAGATATCTTAACTAATTCCTTAGAGTGGTTTATAACTTTTTAATTCTGAAAAGAAATTCAAAACATTTTAAGTCAAAGTAAGATTTTCTGGTTTATCTTCTGTACCATTTTTGTGCAAAATCTTTTCTTTTTTTGCATTTTAGGGGAACTGAGATACTTTTGTATCATCATTAGCTTACCCTAATAGTACTTATTCTAAATCAAGGAATTTTTGCAGTTTTCCTCTTAAAATTTCATTTTCGTTTAATTAATACAAAAATTAGGATTACTTTAAACCATATCTAATCATTTTTTTTTTTGCTAAATCCTCAGAATAAATAAAATCCGCTCCATAACATGATTCATTTATTAAATAAGGATCAATTTTACTCAGTTCTTAAGGAAAGGTGTACTTTTCTCTAATTCTTTTATACAAATTGATATCTTCATCTTATTACTTGATTAATCCAAAAAACTCTTCTAAGAGACGTAGTAGAAAAATAAATGTCTATATATCATAGAAAATAAATTTACTAAATTTTGATAAGCCTTACTTCTAAAAACCTCAAGATCTCTGATCTGGAGTGTCTTTTGATCACTTAAAAATTAAGCAATATAAGTGAAACTAGGAATTAATACATAAAAATCAGTTTCACCTTCTTTGTAAAGAAGATGTTCTATAGTTGGATCTATAAACATTCTAACATAATAATTAATAAATTATACCCAAAATTTGCACACCAATGAAAAGTTTCTATCAATGATTGAAAGACTTATTTTATTCCAATAACATCTATTTTTTGTTTATCCGGAAATGTTTTTGAGAAGGGCAGAGCTGAAGAAAATTATTATTAACCAAAGGTAACTTCAATTTAATTGCCATAAAGCCCTTCATAATAGAATGTGATATGCAACTCCATTCCTTATTTTTTAATTGAACTAATTTTTGCTAATCTGAAGTAATATCCCATAGGTAATCTAATCAAATCTAATTTACTTTACTTTAGACTAACCTAATTTTAAAGCTTTTGATAAGCTTGAAAATATTCTTCTAACCTATCTATTGAATTCTCTTTCAGTGAGCAAATCTTGAATATTTTCTGTTACTAGTCAAATTCATATTTTTAACAAGACATTAATTTTTTAATAGAAATAATTAAATTATATAACAATTCATTTATTAATCCCAGCAGATTTACCTTCCTAATGTATTTATCTTCTTAATTCTTTCTCTACCCAATAAGGACAATCAGGGATTGAAACATCTAAAATATATTTGATTAATAGTAAAATATGTTCGATGGCAGCTAAAAAAAAGGCACTATATAGGGCATCTTGATTTCCAATAATCCCTTTAAATTATTCTTTATTGACAGTTCCAATAACAATACAATTCATAAAAGTTGAGGAATAATTCAAAATTTCAAATATATACAACCATATTCCAATTGAATCTGCTGCCTAAGCTCTTTCTCTTTTTAAAATATATTAGTAATTATATATTGATGATCTTAGATTGATATAGCAATTGATCATGAAAAATAATGGGGCAGCTGGAAAGGTTGGAGCAAACATTGTTGTATATCCAAATTGTATGGCAATATTTGTGTATTCATCATATAATATCTTTTAAGGGCCTTTAATTCTACTCATTTCTAATTCTTATAAGAAAAGTAATTATTAATCATGAGTTAATTTCTCTGATGAGAATACTTAGTTACATATTTTAGGTATATTCTTTTTTTCTTATATTCTTCTTTAGAATAATTATTTAAATTCAGAAAATAATTTAGTAAATGAACGTTTTTCCAATTTAAATATGGCAAAAGGTAATAAATTGCTTTTTACATTTGAAATTACTCCTCTTGTTATTATAATACTTGCAACTGATACACTTAATGAATTTGCATCACTTTCAAATATTGCAACATAAACTACTGAAACATATGAGATGAGAAATTCAAATAGAAATACCTTTAAAATATATGAATATTCTTATTCTGATTCATACATATGATTTTCCCATGTCACTAAAGATTTACATAGTCTTTTGTATAAATCACAAAAAACAGTCATAGAAACACCATTTAAAGAGTTAATAACTATTGACATTACAGGATCATTAGAGTTTTCTTTTAACCATAGATTAAAAGCATAGAAACTCAATACAATTATTGCAATCCCTATTAAAATGACTGGTCCTTCTGCTATTAATCTTCTTTTAAAAGTAGTAAAATAATCATAGATTTATATTTTATGGTTAGCTTCATTAATAATATATTATCCTGTATACATAACTCTTTATGGTTGAGTCTATTTGAATTTATGCATGTCCCAACAAAATTTCAATTCTGATTCTCTATTTTTCCACTTCTCCATAAATAATGTCTACCATAGAGTCATTAACAATGCATAAAATGGTACAATTGATGAACTTATATAATTTTAATTGTTACTTTACTTATTGAATAATGATTATATATATTCCTAAAGCTGCACCAAAAAGAGAAGGAATCATTAACCATCCAATAATTTGAACATTCAATGCTATATACCATGCAATAACTGGACCAAAATATGAGGATATTGCATGTAATGGTCTTAAAGCTATTTATTAAGTTTCATATCTTAAAGAATCACGAATACAATTATTTTGTTATTCATTCCAAAATTAAGTAATTTTTTCACATTTTTTTTAATCTTCTAATGGAAAATGAGATATAATTAATTATTCCAAAACAAATTTTTCAACATTGAATTCATCATTCAAAGTTTTTAAAATCAACATTTAAACTTATAAATCTTTAGGAAATTCAAAAAATCTACTTTTTTCATAATTGAATTAACATATACACTAATAAAATATTTAAATATTTTTACTTTTGTTTGAAAATTATAACAAGATATTTAATAGAGATCTGCTAATCTATAAATCACATCTGGAGGTAATTTCAAAACATAAAAATGATATAATGGTCTAACTATTTTATTATGTAAATTCTCCTAATATAATTCTAATTATTCAAGATTAGGAGCATGAAATATTAAAAATTCAAAACTCCATCCTCTATCTTTAAATGTTTATTCAATATTTTATAATTACAAAAAAACTATATCTTATCCCACACTTGAAGTTCCTTTAGTCTAAATTACATATTAATATCCTAATTCTGCCAAACTTTTTATCTCTTACTTAACTTATATATTTTCTTCATAGAATTCCATAAATTTTGAATTATAAGTTAATTCAAATGGTTTTAAACATCTACTATTAACAGCATCCACTGATATTCCATGAGATATTAATGTTTTCATACAATGATATTTCTCTTATTCAATTGCTAGATGAAGAGCATTAGATGGATTTTAATCAGTGAGAATATTTATACATTCATTCTTAAACTAATAGATCAAAATTAATTACTTTATTAAATTTAATATTTTTGAGTTTCTTTTTGTTTTTTTTGTTAACTTCAACTGAACTATCATAATATTCATAATCATTTTCTAAAATAGTTTTTAACATTTTTGGTTTTCCTCTATATGCAGCAATATGTAAACAGTTGAAACCTTAATAAACATTCAGAAAAGGATTGCATTTTCTTTTGAGAAAATATATAAAGAATTCTTGAATACCTTATCTGGCAGACCAATATTAAAGTCGAGATTCATATTTTTAATTAATAGTCAAATCAGCTTTACTATTAAATATAACATATTTTTCCTTTGATCCATTTTCTAAATCATCATTATTAAATATTAATGTGGTTTTTAATTTTTTACCTTTATGATGTTTTCGTTTATGTTAAGGTGCTTCACTATTTGGTTCTACTAATGTAGGTTGATTATTATTAGAAGTATATTGATGAAGTTGAATTAATTCATCTTAATTTGTTTCTGTAAATATTTTACTATTATTTGTATTCCTAGAATTAAATACTCTTATTTCAGGTATTTTTTCTTCTTCTGGTTCCTTCATTTCATGATGAGAATCATCAAATAATGGAATATCTGCAATCTCTTCTAAAATCTTTTATTAGACTCTTTAACATCCAGTTTTTGGTTAGAATTTTAATACTTATTAATTATTAGGCGTTTTTTAAGTGCTTTTAATATTTGTATTTTTAGAAAGAAACGAATTTGAGGCAAAACTTCTATTGATATTTGAAATATTTAAACGTGGTATCCCATATCTGGATGGCTCTGATTCGGGTGATGATTCTTCCTCATCCTCTTTAAAAGATTATATAATTGGAATTTATGCTGTAATTGTTGTTGCTTTTCGTTATTTTCTTTTTTTTATTTTCCTCTTTAGTTCTTCTTTAGATGTTATGTAGGCATAGTTAATTACTACATTTTAGAATATATCCCAAACGTCTTTCCTAAATAATATATTTATTTATTATACTTATATTGTTCAGGTCTATTATCAAAAAACAAATAATCAATAGGAAAATTTCCTTATTGTTCTTATTCCAATTACAAATTAAAATTTTATGCAATAAAAAAATCGACTAATTCTTTATTACCATAATAACAAGCCCAATGCAATGGATTTGGTTTATAAGTGCATTAACAAGGTATTGATGCCCCATTATCAACTAACAATCTTATGGTTTTCTCTTAATTTTCTGGATTGTATTCTCCAGAATATCTATTTGAATAAAATTGTATATACCCTTTTATGCTTGCTAGTTCCAATGGAGTATAAGAATGCATATCACCCTTATTTAAATCAATCATTTATTTATATTCTTAACACCACCAGTTTAACAATTTATATTAACCTAAATAAGCTGCCCAATGAACCACACTTCTATTCTAATCATCAACCATTTTAAAAAATCCTGACAATTTTTAATGTGCCAACTTCAATTAATCTTCAAAATGTTTCTTCAATGTATTAATATCTCCATCCTTAACCCATTCAAATAACTGGGTTTAAGTAATTTACATTGTAATTTTAAATATTAGAATAAAAATTATAATCAATCCAATTCCAAAATCTATTATTATCATCAATTCTTAATTATCAAATCATTGTTCTTAAAATATTATCATATTATAACTGAAACTTTAGAATATTTATTTGGAATTCAAATTTAATTTTTTTAATAAAAATTACTGAAATCTTTATAATTCTACTCAATAAATCTACATAGTTAAAATCAGAATTATAATATTTATTTATCATTTCTATTTTATTAGATTACAAATTAAAAATTAATATATTTTTATATTGAATTCTTATTTTTAATTTAATTACTTGTACCAAATTAATTATAAACAAAAACTATTATAATCGCATAAATTTAGTCTGTTAAAAAATTTAATTATGATGATAGAAATTTGGGCTTTTATTGTTTTTATAAATTATCATTATGAATTAAATTATATGATCAATATAATATAAATTGATTCTTTATTAGATTTATTATAAATTATGAAAGATTTTAAACGAATTATAAATAATATTTAATAAAAATAATATTTAAAATTATTCTTATTACTATAAAAGAAAAAAAAATTTATTCGATTTTGAAAATAATATATTCATTTTATTAGCTGTTCAACTAGGAGTTGATAAGGAAATAGAAAAATACTAACAGAAAATATGATAAACGATATCCTTTTGTCATATGATCAATTTTAAGAAAATACGCATAAAATCCAATATCTAAAATTAATTAACAGTAATTGCAAACAAAGTACTATTGCTGATCCAATTAAACAAAAATATTCATCTCTGTTAGAAAATATAAATCAGATAGTTTAGAAATAAAATTATATTTCTTAAATTAATTTCTGCTTTCAGTTGGAAGATGATAAAATCATTTTATTTTTTAAATGAAATATTTTATTAGGAAAAACAATAATGCACTATTTTCATTTATTTCTAGATCAGATAATTTGTGTTGACTTAAGAATATTCTATTGTAAAGTCAATCATATAAGTTGTTCTTTATTTACAATATCATAAAAAGAAAACTTTAGAGATATCTAAAATGAATATAAAATTAAATCAAATTCTTCAAAACTGTAACTATATTATTATATTTATTTCATTAAATGAAATTGAAAAAATTTAAGATTTAAAAGAGTCAATATCTGATTAAATAATTTAGAAAATAAAAAA